TTATTTCCCTTACTTTCTTTTACTCCTACTACCTCTTTACTCCATGTTACCTTTTTTCTTCCAATTACTCTGGCTGCTCTGGCTGACCCACTGCAGGGTGTGACAGATATGGGAAGCTCCCCAACAGCTTCAGCTGTAGAAACAGCCACAAAGAAATCACAGAGCTCCTCTGCTACGTCTTCATCATACCCATCTTCCCCTTTAGCACCCTTGTCATCAGCATTCCCACTGATCTCCCTTTGATATATTTAAAGAGCTTTTTACCATCCTTTGCAAGGAAATTTGCATATTGTTTTTTTAGACCAGTTTTTTATGGTTTAATTGTGACCTGACATGTTTTATGGACTTCCCTGTTCGTAGACCACTTTTTTTTTTTTTTTTTTCAGGGTTGGGTTTGGGGATTTTTTTGACTAGTTGTTGGAAAAATCAGTATCTTCATCTATCATCCCCAAAACCCGGAAGAAGTCAATGTAATCCTCCTGGGAACCCTTAATAAGCAAAGCTGCTCCATCCGCAAACATCAGACACGAGGCTTTGACACAGGGAGCATTATTTGGCTAAAAATAAGGGGAAGAGTGGGAAAGGGGGAAAGAATAGCAACTGATGACTTGGCAGCTGCTAAACTTGACAAATGACAGTCCTCTTGCAGGAGTGGCAAATGAGTAAGGCAGTGCTGGGCTTGCCTCACTTGCCTTTCTGCAGTTTGTGGCCCTGGGCTAGTGAACCCCGAATTTCAAGCAGGTCCTCTGTCCCTGGGTTGTGCTGGAGTCCAGTCACCTTCCTGAACCCGGGATGAAGCTGAGGTGGTCTCCCCAAAACCAGCCAGGGACAATAATGTTCACCTGGGTATCTGCCTGAATCCCTCCAGCCCTCGCCTGTGTTTCCCTGAAAGCTCTCTGTACCCCAGGGTTTCTGCTGGAGAAGCCATTCCTATTGAGGAGGGGAGCACTTCTCACTAGAGGGGAGGCTCCTTTTACCTTACCCCTGTTCCTCCCATTGGAAGGAATGCTATCATTCACCTTGAAAACAACAAGGCATCAAAGTCAAAGGAAGCACTTCAGAAGTGAAAAGTCAAGCCCTTGGGTCTGCAATCGTGTCCTACCTTTATTGGTCACTCTTGTTTATGCCTCCAGCCTGGCAAGTCACGTGCAGGATCTATGCAAAAACAGTCTCATAAAGGAAATAAGGAGTGGTTTTCACCAGCAGGTAACCAGAAAAATGCAAAATGCTTCTGGATTTCAGGCCTGAAAGGTGCTGCCTTTCAAATGCAAGTTTGGATGCTGGGCTTTGCTGGGGAGTGTTTGGATGCAGGGTTTCGTCTCCTTTTTGGGGCTGATTTCAGGCATAACCAGTGTGAACAGCACATGATCCATCAGGCCTGGCTAAGCCCATCCTTACCCCACCGTCCCATCACATTACTGTGTGGCTGCTCCTCTAAGGCAGCTGCCCAGACACAGGCTCTTACCCCACAGCCACCCACAGCACCATACCCCTCCCCTACCGCTCTGCATTTCTCAGGTGTACCCACATAAATGAAGGATGGCATGTGACTGAAGCAATCCCAATACCCCCCCCCCATATACTATGTTATCACCATGCGAACCTTTGTCCCTGACTCATTTAGCATCGTTTCGTACACCCTGTGCAGATGTGCCAAGCAATCTCTCTAGCGTAATTTTTGCTCAGGACAAAAGCAGGTGCCAGACTGAAGGGCACCATCTTCCCACGTCCTCTGTAGGTTACGCAGAAGCAGGACACCCTGTATCTTGGGGTAGCAGATGGACTGGACACCTAGGATGTGAAACAGGTTGTGGAAGTTCCCTGAAGCCTCTCGCCCTGCCTGCAGGCATGTCCTCTGCCACAACGATGGGTGAGGGTCATGCTCAGCTCCCTTTCCCATGCCCAGGTGGATTTTGAAGGACAGGCAGCTGAAACAACACACGAGCCAAGTGGCAGCAGGCATAAAACACCACAAAGAGTTCTTTTCCATGATCATATTTCCCAGCAGAATCATTGCTAATAGCCAAACAGAAGTGAAATATCTGAGAGTTTGCCCTTTCGGTACAGAATTTCAGTCCAGATAAAATAGCTGTAACAGCCTTTGAAATGCTAATGAGTGAGCAGGCTTACAGTAGTATCTGATAGCCCCTCCCCAGGCTAAGCGAGAACCGGTTGTAGTTGCAGAAATCAGCTTTGAACTAGAGCAATGAAAATTCCTCTGCAGTTAAATTGCGCAAACACCTGACTATTTTTGCTGCTTTTATTGTCAAAGACAGCAAATGTCTAGATATCATACCCTCAATAAAGTTTTATTGCATTAAACTTTTGTTTATTGTTGAGCTTTCAGGTGCATTTCCAATCCTTATTGCTTTGCAAAAGAATAAGAGATAACACTTGAAAATCTTTTCATGTGCCTCCGTAGCAGGCTGCTGTCAGATGTGTTTTAAGGATGCTCTGCTCTAAGCTGATGAAACTGGGCAATTTACCTCAATGAAAGACCATGATGTTAATCTCGATATAGAGAAATCTTTTTATCAGACTCCACGTAACCCCAAGTTTCAGTCTGCCATGAAAAGAACGGGAGGAGGAGGCATTCAGGCAAAAGCAGCCAGCTGACTGAAGTAGAAGTCCAGACTGAGCTTCATGACTCTCTGCCACTTGTTCTGCCTGTATCTCACCCGTTTTTGAGTCTTTCACCCTGTGCAAACTCCTTGGAGTGTTCTGCTGGCAGCAGAATCTTTTCCTGCTGGTAAAAAGTCAGGAAAATGGGGAAAGGAAAGGACTTAGACAAATTAGAAGCAGGGAGCATCTCCTTCAGCCAGGGAATTGTGGGGACACACAAGGCTCAAAGAAAAAGAAGGGGCAGCAGGTATCGGGGGACATATATTAATCAAGCCATTGGGTTGGTCCCAAGCTGGTCCCCCTTGCAGGGCTTTTCTAGCTGGAGGAAGTCCAGGGCCTCCCTGCCTCTTGTGCTAAGGGTAACCACCATGCCTTGCTTTGGTCCTCACAGGAGAGCACTTTCAGAGGAAAAATCAAGAAAATCAGACCAAATCTCTACCATCCTTCGAATAAGGTATCATGCATAGCTAAAGCCAGCTAGCCCCACTCGCATGGGGTAAAGGTCACCTTGTGCACGCTGAGATGCACACAGCCGGTGGCGGGTGGCTGAGGCCACCAGAACCTGGCCTCCTACAGATACCTGCCAACAGCAGGGACTGTGCAGCCAGGTGACAGCAGCAAAGGGGACAGGAGTCAATGGGAAGAAACAGTGAAAACCTAGGAAAACAACTGAGAGAAAATTGCACTTTTTCTCACCACTACTGAGAGAAAATTGCACTTTTTCTCACCACTACTTCTGAACAACTGCTCATTGCAGACAGTTCAGAGAAAGGAGGGTCTATCTTCTTTTGCTAGAGGAGCCACATAAGAAATATCAGGACTGTTTCATTCCCAGTTTTCAACCGCATAACTGGTGAGTGGGAGCTGGTTTTGATCACCGAGAGCACTGGAACAACCTGTCTGCATGCACATCCTGGTAACCTCTACAGCCCCATAGTGTTCTCTATCACTGCCCCCCAAACTTGTTGTTTAAACTGAAAGACACTTCTTTCTTTAGCTGTGTGACATGAACAGACCCATACACATAAAGCTGCCATCACAGAGAGCAGCTCGTGCAGCATTTTCAAAGGAGATCCAGCTGCACTAACTACCCAGTTCCCACTGAAAGCGATCACAGAAAATTGGTGCCAGCCTTACAACAATAAACATTTTAGCTTCTTTAAGATTTAATATTTCTGATCAGAACCTCTGAGTGAATGCCACGTGCTGATGCAACCAGTCTGTGCACACTTGTGTCTAACTCTGCACAAGTTTTAACATAAAATAGTCTCTGGAGTTGTAAAAAAACCCACTTACACCATTGGGCAGCAACATAAGAAAGCATTGGTACTGAGAAACAATAATGTTTAATAAGAAAAGTTAATTTGCATATATAAAAGCCAAGTCACAAAACATAACATGGAATTAAACGATGCTTTACACGAACTTAACCTATAAATATATGTACATATTGGTGCATATATATATTTTATATATGTAAGGAAATGTTAAAGCTAGTCAATAGATAATGCACACTCAGTAAAGTACGTTAACATGTGGACTATTTTACAGACAGATTTACTGAGTGTGTGTAAGAAATTGAAAAAAAACCCTTAAGATCATTCAATGAAAACATAAAGAGTGCAAGAGAAAATAAAATGTTAACATTTTCCACAGGAGCTGAGAATGTAAAATCCAGGTAGTTGTGCAAGATGGGGAACAACAGAGTTTGAAGATACTGTGTCTTGTCATTGTACAGGGAAGGAAGGCTGCGCGAAAGGTCAGACAAGTACTAGCGTCTCACACAATGCTTGTCAGCAGAGACCTGAACTGGGTGCTTTCAGATATGAAATACTGGGGGGTTGAGGAGGGGAAAAAGACTGTATCTGACATAGGAAAGAGAAAAAGATTAGGTTCTCACGAAGAACAGTTTTGGTCTACCCAAAGCCATGCAGGCTGCCTGTATCTGAAATGGAGTGAGCACAAATACAGGCAAAGCTCTGGGTGCTGACATGTTTCAGCATCACACATATTGCCTGGACCATCTTCCAGACGACCTGAAAAACAGCAGGGTTAAAATCCTTGTAGCTTGTCTACACTCACTCTCTTGCCAATGTACTGGGCTCCTGAAAGAAGTCTAATGTTTATTGGAGCCTATTAGTTCTTTTAAAGAAGTCCTCTTCTTCTCTCTATCCTCTGCGTCACTCTTCCCTTATTTCAGAGAGTTGTCCATGATCTCTTCCAATCAGGGGTCTTCCTTTAGAAAATGATCAGAGAATATGAAGTTCTGGACTTTGTTGTCTCTTCTGCTGAAGTAACGGCATTGGTGAGAGGCTGTGAAACTCTTTGGTCTGACCCACTGTCGCAATGGTTGTCCATCCTTCCACCACTCTGGTCGCTTAGTATCTGTTCCGTGTCCTAAAGCCCTCAGGCTCCCGGGATATATCATACTACAGAGAATTTGGACAAGAAAAGAAAATAAAAGAAATAAAGAGAGAGTACTCTGGGTCAGAAAGCTCCTTTCTGAGAATAGTTCAGCATGTAGCACGCTGCACATGATACTCTGTGTACACGTGTTGCTCCCTGGGACACAACAGCCCCCAAGGAAAACCAAACAGGCAGATTTTCGTCACTGAAAATCTGACATCTTTGGAAAGCTAAAAATGCCAGAACCATGCAAATCTGATCAATCAACTAACTAAACAGATGTTTTTCTTCTCTTAATTGGCAGCTTTTTAAAAGTGGGTTTTTTCTTTAAACATCATATTTCTGTGTTGCTTCCGTCACAGTTTAGGCCTCAATTCTGCAAAACACGTAAATGTATTACAATTAAACAGATTTTCTTCACTAAACAGTGGTACTTTCTTGCACCACAGAGGTGGAGCTAAAATGTCATTTAAACGAGATTTGAATGGACAATGTGTTTCCCATTTACTCAATGCACGCAGAACCCAGCAAATCAATCATATCACAGCACAGCACTTCTCAAGCCCCTGCTCCCTCCACAGCTCCCTTGCAGAGTTCAAGGGTAAGACAGGCAGTTTTTTCAGAACACACCTTCCAGCTAATGACACACCTCTGCTGAACGGGCTCCTCTGGGCTACATCAGTGCAAAAGCTGTGCTAGCTTTTTCATGGCACTGAACACTTTCCCCCTTTGCAATGTTGCAGAACCACAGAGGCTCTTGCTGTGAATGGGGCAGTGGCAGAGCGGAGGACACCGACCCTCTGGGAAGCTATGCCAGCTTCAGCTGATTCTGAGTCTTGCATGAGGCTGCAACTGGGAAGTGCCCCTGCAGCACCTATCGATGCTACAACTTTCTTAAAAGAAGCACAGGTTGTAACACCCTGTGCTGAAGGATGTGTTCGGTCAATGCAGACAAATGTCCAGCAGACCACTGGGCAGCCAAACTGTTGCTTTGATCCTTGCTTTTCACATATCCAGCCTGTGACTCAAGGTTGACTACTAGGGCTTTAGAAAGGTCTTCATGAGTGCTGATCTCTGTATTAAGGGAAAGTTTTTCAGCTGCAGCAGCAGTTGTTTGGTTGCCTTTACACCACTTTGGCCTTCTAGATCAAGGGAGGATGGACAGTGGGGTTTAGGTTCCAACAATGTCTGTAACCCACAATGCTACAGTTCAGGAACACAATTCGCGTAGGCCTGTGTGAAACACTTACCAAATCATAATCCCTCTCCGGAAAACCATCTCTATTTGTGGAGCGCATCTCATAGGGGTTGTTTGGCTGGTATCCTGGGTTCGCATGGCCAGAAGTGGTCTGGACTCTGGGAAATATCGTGGTCTCTCTATCATCAAAGGCATTTGGGTTGGAATATCCTGACTTTATCAGGCTCTTCCTCTCTGGATCCTTTTTGTGTTTGGCTCTTCAGAAGAAATGAAAGAACAAAGGAGGTTTTAAAAGACCTTTTAGTGTGCCTTACTTGTTGCGTAAGTCCAACGTATTGAGTTGTCTACTCCCACTTTATTTTGAACACACAGTCCTGTTCTGAAACATTCAACAGACTTTTCTAGCATGCCTATCGCAAAACTGTTGCTATCAATAATACAGTACAAAGTTCATCATCTCTTATCACAGATGGGGCTAAACTGCTAGGAGAGACAGAGGGGGACTTTGATCTCTTTCAACTAGTTGAAGTGAGTTTCCTTCACCACTAGCTTTCAACTAGTTGAAGGAGTTTCCTTCACCACTAGCTCTGACTGTCCAGAGGAAGAAATGAGGCATTTATTAGGCCCAGTTAAGAAAAGTTGCCCTCATGCCTGCAGCCAAAGCTGGATGCTCAAACGATGCATTTGCATTGTGTGTGATCACAAGTCCATACATTGCACACACACTCGGCACCAGCTTGGGCAGCTGCTGACCAGCTATGCCTGCTGTGGGCATCCTTGCAGGCACCTTTATCTCGGCAGCACTGAGGAAAGGCAGAGGAGCTTCTTGAGCATTTCTGTGTTTATTGTGTGGAGAGAAGTGAGGAGGTGCAACTGCAATTGGGAATTTGCCAGTACACCAGGAGTAGTACGCTTTAAAGAGATGCTTGGCTGGAAATGCCACCTGTATTGAGCTGAAAGGGGCATGCCCAGCCTGGAGCTGAAGCGCTAGCATGGAAAGCTGCAGAGGGTTTGAATTTGGGCCACACTGTCTTCTGATATCAGCATCCTTCTTCAGTCTCATCCAGATGCCATTTCAGTGCTGGGTATGGCAGGATTAGGATTAATGGGTCAGGTGTGTATTTTAAAGACTTGTCTGAAGCTTTCAAATTCACAGCAAGAGAATAAATCCTTCTGGGAAGAGCACACAGGCAAAACCAAATTCTAATGGCTATGTGACTTAAATGATCTTGTCTGCCCAACTAGGCATGCAACCACATTCACAGCCCTGCCCCTCTCTAAATTTCTGCTTGGTTCTCTACAAACATGCAGCAATGCAGTTTCTGTTAGATTGTAATAAATACTCTTACCTTATTGAAATAATAGAGATTGCTATCGCTAAAATCAGGATAATGGCTCCAAACACTGTACCCACTATTATAAGGATGAGTTCTCTATCTGGAAAAATAAAAACAACCAAACAAGAAACATAAATTGAAAGCTCATGGTAAATATTGAAAACCAAGTCCTGTCTCTGTCCTCTTACTAGGAAGGAAGGAAGGAAGGAAGGAAAGATGAAAGAAGATGTTATTAATTCCCAGGCTCCTGGTGCTGCCTCAGTACAACTGTCTGTGGACACAGAAAGATGTAAATTAAGGAACTTATCTGCATTAAAGACCATCTCTTCTGGATGACTATTTTGATCCCAGCTCAAGTTCCTAATCCCATGCACTGAATGGCTTCCCACATAGTTATAGTTTAGGGACAGAAACAACTGGGAGGGTGTAGGGGTTGCTTAAACTAGTATTGCTGCTAAAATATGTAGTCAGGTGCACATAAGGCACACTGATTTGAGGTATCTGTTATGTGGCACTATGAGCACTGCATTAATAATATCTCATATCTGAATAAATGTTTGGCGAGGAAAATTCATTTCAACAGATCTTGCTCCAGAACCATCTTGGCTAGGGGAGGAAGACATGGATTCTGTCCTTCAACCACAAGTGGAATTCCTACTAAAACCTAGTCTTAGCTCTGTGTAGCCATGGTAAGGAAAAATGAAAGGAGAATTGTGCCCTGCAGGGCATAACTTCAAAATGAGTATGTGAAGCACAAGACAGTCTCTTGAGTCACCCAATGTTACTGGTGGTACCTACTTGAAGATTTCAGTCTGGATTTATAAGTTTGACATTTAATATACTGAATGCCTGTACAGGAGATACGCAACATGAAGCCACCAACTGTGCCATTACCAGCAGAACAATCCAGCACATTTAATCACAGGAGCATGCATCGAGACAACAGGGAATATGATTTCTCAAAATAACATCATGCCAAACACATGTGTATGGCATCCTTGGTTATTGCTCAGCAAACTCTTTTCATCAGTACCCACCAAGTGCCATATAGAGAAGACGAGGCTATTAATGGAGTTCATTATTAGCAGGTTTCAAGTTCATGTTTAAATTCACAATGTGTTAACTTTATGCCAATTTAAAGGTTTCAATTGCTTTACGAAAAAGGCCTTAAAATTCCAAAAACTTTCTCTAGAAAAATATGTTCCATGTGATGAAAAATAACCTTCCTGACACACATTTACACCTCACAAGACTCACTGTGCTGCACTACAACTACCATTAGCCAATCTCCAAAACTTTAAAGGCAGAACTAGAAGAAAACCATTGTAGATCTCATAGCTGCGGACACAGGTATGTTAAACATGTGCAAGTTTAAGAACGCAGCAGTGTGAGAATCAAAAGGGCCACGTGAGGACAAACCTTTTGCTCAGATAAAGCCAAAGGAGTTGTGGGAAGTGAAGAACCATAACTGTCTGTTTTTCAGCCTGCCTTTGACTGTATTAGATGTTCTGAGTTTAGGCATGTGCAAACACTAGAAGGCATGAAGAATGTCCTCTCCAAATCTATACGATGGTGGAAACTTGAGAAGGTGCAACAAACAGCTGCAAAACTGACTCAGTAAAAGGAAAAAACCTCGGAAGGCCCGTCTGGGTAGTTTGTCTGGATAATTACAATTATGGCATGACATAGTCGGTCCATCATCTCTTCACTGGTATAGAGTACTAGATACTATGCAGTGCTTGCAAGGTAAAGCACAAAGAAGAACCAGTCGTTGGATATTAAAGCAGAAACATTTCAAATTAGAGTAATCCACTGACATTTTAACAGAGGGAGTGATTAATTACAGGAGAAACTAATCCGTTAGTGGTGCTGAGTTCAGCATTGCATGTCTTCAGATGAGAACTAAATGCTTTTCTGTCAAATAACCTGTGTTTGACTAAAACTACTGGGCTTAATGCAGAGGTCATTAGAGGAAATGCTACTGTCTGTCTGGACATGAGTTTCAAGAAGGATTTTTCCTTCCAGGAAACAGTGGAATTTAATTCTTTTTTTCCTAACATTTTCCTGCTACGGGATGGTGGCACCACTGAAGACTACTACTTGTTATTTTTGTTATCTCAGGCAGATTAAACATTACCAGGTATTTTTCCATGCTATAATTAAAAATCAGAAATTCTTGTACTTACTGTTATTGCAGTTGTCCCCTGAGTAGCCCACTGGACAACTACATGAGAGAAAAAAGAGGAAAGAAAGATAATGTCATTAAGCAGATGATCACAAAACAATAGTATATTTCCATCTTTTATCAGCAATTTTTCTGCAAGGTGTGTTCATTACTCATTAATGCTATCTTAATATTGAATTCTTTAGTTTCATTCTTAGAGTAAAACAAGCTGAGATTTTGAGAATGATTGGTGAGCTGGGCACTCAAAGTTTCAGGTTCTCAGCCTGAAAAATTTTAAAAGAGCCTAATTTCTCCAAAGAAGTAAGCTTTACACCTCCGAGCCTCTTGGAATTGCTACCCACTGTCTTATCAAAAGCCTCAATATATGTTCTATAAAGACTTGCAGCTCTTTATCTTCCTCCCATACTAGCTTCTTATATTTAAAATATATTGACTTTATGGTAAGAAGTTTCATTGTGTCACAGTAATAACTACAAAAAGAGCTGAATTAATGGATATAGGGAATAAGGTCCCTCCGCTTATCCATGGAGCAGAGCACAACCAGTCACTTACTCAGCTTCACCAGGAAACAACACTGCTCTGTTCTGATCCTGAGCTGACAGAAGTACCCACAGAGAGAAAACCAAGATAAAATAACATAGGTCTGAACGTTATCAGGAAACAGAGTCTCCACTGATATTGGTGGAAACTTTCCAGGGATTTGAGGCAAGTCTTACTCTAATGCCTGTTGCTTACTAAACGCTTCAGTCTACCAGTTCCCATGGCTCAACTACTCTAGTATATAGTTTATGTGGGCAACCCACAAAATAAGCGTGAAGTATTTTATCCTCTTCACTGACTCACAGATGACCTTGGATCTTCTTGACTTTCCTCGCAGGTATTATGAGTGCACACCAATGGCTAATGCCAATAAGCAGTTAAAATGCCATAACTTGTAACACCATGGGAATTCGGCCACCTGCTAGCCACCTTAGGCACCTCTCTTATTCACACAGCTGCAGTCTGTTCTTCTAGACCGAGGGTGACCCCGTGTTAGATGTTCTTCTCCCCTATCTTTGCCTAGTACACAGGAACACAAGAAAAAGCTGAGTACTCACAATACACATTTTCCATTCTTCATTTCAAAGTTAGACATGCATTTGCATGTTGGAACCCCATTTTCTTTTGCACAGTACTTGTTTTCTTCTGCAGAACAGTTACTGCAATCTGTATTTTAAGAGGAAAAAATATAGAGTGAATTGAAGATGGCCCCCAAAACCTCAACGTTGGAGAAAATCCTCCCGCCTTTTTTTTTTTTAAATTGCACTGTAAACACACACAACTTTGTTGTGCTTCAAAGCACCAGAATGGCTTTTTTTTTAGGGCTATACCTATGTAGAACAGAATACAAAAGCACAAAATTAGAAGTAAATTGTCTTTGTTTAGAACCATCCAGCGTCATCAGAATAGAAATCTGGCTAGGCTGCATCTTACATAGGCAAGCAACAACCTGCAGTTTGATCTCCCAGCAGATGATTTATATTGCAACTGATCTAAACCTGGATCATGATCTAAACCTGGATCAGATTTAGACAGGTTAAGGGTGACAAAGCCCTACACTGGGTCATCTCTCATTGGCCTTTATTGTAGCCAGCTTTCATGATTTTATCATGAGTGTTTGCAATATTTATAGCTTTTCTTAAGATCTCGTATCTTAGACTGTTTTTCTGTAGTGTGAAAATTTTAGTTTTCCTAAGAAAATCAAGTACATCTCAGGGCTGTGGAGGATAGCTAACAATATAAACAAATACTCATTAAAAGATTCAAAACCAGCTAGAAAATAAAAGCCCAACAACTAACAGTTCCTAAAAATCACATAAATCATTCTTCCCACAGAAACCTGTCTAAACAGAGGTAATGCAATCCTATAGCTACTAACAAGGGACAGATCTTTAACAGATTGTTATAGAGCATCATGAGACTTCCAGTTCTGTCAGTGTCCCTACAGCTGCCTCAAGTTAGCATGCAGAACTTATTCCCAAAATATGTCCTAGCAGAGAGGGTTGTGAATATAGGACTCAATTTGTTGCATCCTTTACCAATTTAGGTTCAATTCTTATGAAAAGTTTAACAACACATTTAAAGAGTTGCCCACTCACTAGTTTCAGTGATAATTTTCTCAGGATTTAGTAGTTTATTCTACTGGAATAGAATTATGGATATGTTTAAAGTGAAATGTGGGAATGTGTTTGTATGGCTCTCTTAATAAGACACACATTCCCTGATTTTTAGAGGTCAGCACATTTGCGGAGAGCTGTTTTCAAAAAGGGACTGAGACAGGGAACAACCAGGTCAGTCTTTCAGGGATAGGTAAAGTAGCAAGTTTTTTACCTGAACAAGAACGTTCATCCCATTCTGTCTTCGAGAAACCAGTTTGGCATGTGCACATTGGAAACATATCTTCTATGCACTCTGTGGTTTCAGGATCACAATTAAAAACAGCACAATAGGTTGTACCTTTAAAAGAGAAATGTTCAGGAAGCAAACATGAGTACTAATAACATAATTTCATAAAAAGCAATGCACTTTCTCAGTAAATCATAAACCAATTATTTAGCAATTCCAAAAAAACCCTTTTAAAGTCCTTTTTTCCTGGACATCAGTACCGCAGGCATTGGGACCAGCTCTTTCTTTTCCCTTGCTCTTTACCAGTTAAGGTCCTGCCTCCATCATATCTTCTGATCTTCCGTTTCTCAGCCTTCCTACAACTGCCTCCAAACCTTCCTGCCCCCTACTCCATGAAGAGGGAAATTCTACCCATTAGTTCATATTCTGAGGACTGACTTTCTGACTCACCTTAAAAAATACTATAGAAAAACCCCAGCGCTACTCCCTTAGATTTTTCTACAACTGAACTGTGAGGCCCAGATCCCATACAGTTCTACACAGATATTTATGGGCATGCAGCTCATCTCATGACCAATATGACTATGCTCTTTGCCCAACATGTTGCTCTTTAGATCCATATCCCAGTAGTGGTAATGGTTTACAAACGTCAGTGGCTGGCATGCAGTGGAAGGATGTGATTGCACTGGTGCTTTGTGAGCTCTCAGGTTTTTCCTACTTCCCCCTCATGTTTAGGACCAGCACACAGGAAATGGCATGGCTGAGGTGGATACAGTTGCTGTCAGAGATCAAACTCGGGCTACAAGTCATGAAATGGCCTCCTTTAATTATTAGCTATGCCTTTTGCAAAAGCTGATTTCAAAATAGGAGCATATTAAAAAAAAGAGAGAGAGAGAGAAAAATCCATATTTTATTTAGAAAATCATTCTCCAAGTGTTACACTTTTAATAATGTAAGACTTTGCTGGTTTAGACCAACGAATCATTCAGCTCCACAGCTGATCAGTGAGGCCTCATTTCAATTACATGGTTAGTTATGGGAGAAGTCATCTAAAGAGAGTTTCATCCTATCTTGCTGGTAAAATACTGGTTTATTCTCAGAAGCATGATATGTTTCTGTATATAGTTTATCCTGATTCTTACAGCCACTTAACACAGCAGGTTAAAATCAAAATGCCATTGCTTACCTAGGAATAAGTATTTTCCTTCTCTTCTTTACATAGAAGGTAGAAAGCCTTAATAAATTTCAAGCCTTAATAATCTTCAAAATTACCTAATGTTAAACATTCAGCTCCTTAAATTCAACAAGGCTTATGCTCTGATGCAGAGAAACGTTCTGAGCACCTTTGAAGATAGGAATCTCAGTTTCTACTGATTATTTACTTCCACAGTAAGGAATCACATACCTCTGTACTGAGAGACATAGGATGAATTTGTTGTTGCCTTTTCTATTGCAGAAGTAACTGTTTCATTGTTCACAGTTGAGTTCTCCATAAACAGGTTTATCACTACTACACTCCTTGGAAGAGCAGCTCTTCCTTCTTTTAGCGGTCTGAAAAGTACAGATAGCATAATTTTAAAGTCTCATATAATCCATATGGGTAGCAAGCTAGATGCAAACAAGAGAAGACTTCTGCCAAACCTCCCTCTCTCCCCTAGTTTCCTTCATCCCACAATGTCGGTAGTTGCTAAGACACCTGAAAATGAGTTCAAGTCTTGCTTAGGAATCCATTGATGGTCATCCTTCCAGTAGATACAGATGTAAATAGGTATCTGGTAAGCAAAGGCTGTTGGATTTAGCACTAACAACATCAGTCCTTTGTGTGCTGTTGGCGCACAACTGATATTTTTTTACTGGGCTAGCCTCAAGCTGGCTGCAGTGTGGAGGACCTCATCTGTTAGACCCTAACCTTTACACACTCACATCAGCTTCTGGTGTCATCCAAGCATGACATGGAGAACCTCATCCTGAAACACAGTGAGAGTAATTTAGGTATGACCACAATGAATTCAGAAAGGTCTGTTTGCAATGTGGAGTTATCTGTGCATGCTAGCTGGGTTGGGTTCAGCTGGACAGCAGTCTCCTGGGGTGAGGTGGAGAACAGTGGTGACTGCCTTGCTCTTCAGCTGAACTTCGTGCTGCTGGGATATGCACACAAACACCTTTAAGCGGTACATTGGTGTAGCGCCTTAAGATGTCACTGTACCCCATGTGTTTGTCACAACCACTCTGCTGGAAGTTACTGCCCTCACAGCTCTGCTAGAACAACAGTCTGCCTAACTGCTTAATCCACGGGGTTCGCTGAAAGGGTTTACACTGCTGTGTGCGCTAGCATGCCAGGTTTTGCTTGATGTGGGTAAGGGAGCACTCACAGAGAAGCTGGCAGAGCTCTGTGGACAGTAACCTGTCACAGACGGATGGGGACAGGAAGAGAGGGACATCTCACAGTGTCTGCCTAGAGCAGCAAAGGACCTGTGCCCACAGCTACAGTCACCACAGCCCATTCGATAACAACTTTGCTCAGCGTGCCGTCAGGAGAGACCAGCTAATGCACAATGAGATGCAGCGGGCATCTGTAATGGGGGTGTTTCTTAAATGAAACTGGGACTCCAAGTTGGACCTGTTCATAGGGCCCTCAGAGTTAACTGTTACAATTTCAGACCATGTCAGATATCACAGGACTGCTAGTTATAGCACAGTGCTGTATCCCCAGTTTACAGACGTATTGGAAATTCGTGGAGTAAAAATGGACTCATCATCCCAGAAACTTTAAAAATACAAAACTAATGTCCTCCTTTAACAGGAGGCATACTGAACTGAACTCATCCCATATCCTTTCTTGAACTGAGTACTCCTTGGGGAACAGATTAAAATGGGGTGTGTGGGAAGCACATAGTGTGCAAAAAAAAAACTGGTAAACTTACAGAATTTCCACGATGACGGTCTGCGCATAACTCGATAAATTGTGGAAGGCATTCTTAAACTATAAAAGATAAATGAATTAGAGTTAAAGGCAAGCAGAAACACAGACCAAAATCCCATGAACCACTGAGGCTTCAGCTGTAAAGTTTTAACTCAGAACATTCTACTATAGGCACAAATAAAGCGAGCTGATCTGCCACATCCACTGTGCAAGGTACTGCAGAAGAGGAGTGGTGGGGTAGTGCTGGAGAACAGGGAATATGGAGAGACATGAGTTGAATAAATGTCAGGGCATTAGGGTTGACTGGCTGGGTAGCTACAGATACACATTAATCGCTTAGAAGGGCATTTCTGAGGCACCAACCTAGTAGAGGATGCCAGCATCCCTACAGATGGCTTGTGTCCCTAACACACAGTGAAGTGGGATTGTCAGGAGTTGATCTCGTGGGGAGAAGCACAGCACTGAACAAAGCCTTGGGGGTTGTATGGGGTCAGTAGAAAAGCCACTGCTCTCCCTCATCCCATGGGAAGCAGGGAACAACTGGTGGAGGCAGCTGCCTCCAATCGCCACACAAGCAGAAGGCACTGGGAAAAGGATAAGATGTCTAAGTCAAACAAAATGAAAGATAAACTACTCTTCTTTGTAATAAAATAAAAATTCTTTTCTATGCTATTTTCACTTTTGCATACGATCACATATCTTTTCTAGAGTTGCATATCAGGCACTTCTGTAGCCATGTAATGAAAAAATGCTGGACAAAAAAAATGAAGAAAATATTTTTTAACATTCTGGAGGGACAGTTTTTGGTTACTTTCTGATAAACATTCAAAGGAAGCAATATAACAATATAAAGAATGTGAGAACTATTTTTGATGAATTATGATTAATATTTGGTGAAGATTTTTTGATCAGCTGTCAAGTAGAGTTGCATACTTCTTTCTTACTTCCAGAAAGCAACATAAGCAAATACACTTGTTTCCACATGGCAGTATAAATTAAACTGTTCATCTTATTTCTCCAGGAAATCTATTACAAGATTTTATCCATATTCATAGAACACTTAAAATGTGTAATATCCATTTCACTAATAGCATTAAAATATTTGTACTGGTATGCTTATGGAAGAGGTTTACTATTTAAGTGTGTAGACACAGCTGGACAGCCATTCTGAAAAGTTTGTGCTGTGTGGAAATTATAGCTTTCTTAAAAAAAAAAAAATTGTTCAGTTTTACTCATACCACTGAGTATTACTGAGCCCTCAGCAGAGAGCGGAGATCAGAAATTAAATGGGCTGGGAAACTTCACTCAGCCCCATGGTTTCTGGAGAGGGAACAGTGAAAGATACAGAGCAATTTATGTGCACTTCCCAGAATAGAAGTGGCATTAAAAATGCAGATATTACTTATTTCAGGTACATCCCTCTACCTCAGCAGGAGCCATGCATGTACTAATCTGAAGGCAAAATTCAAGTCTTATGAATAGGTCCAAACTGGTGGGAAGCCCTCTTTGAAAGAAGTAGATTTGTCAAGTGAAACTATCCTAGGGTCCACATTAAAGGCAGCACACCCCCCGTCTGTGTGATATTCAGGAAAAAATATACAGGAAAAAAAAAGTCATCACTCACAAATGCTGTTACATTTTGGAACACCTCTTGATATTGCACGGAATTTATGGTTTGAACACTATCACTGTAAGAATCTTTCAGTGTAATGACCCCTGGGTATATTTTCCCTGGAATGAGAACAGAGAATATCAATTAATTAGAAAGCGTTTGAGTAAGTTGGGTTTCACCTTAGAGTTCATCCAGTCTGATGGGGAAATACAATGCAGAAATCAGTCAGTGCTACTTTTCATATACTGGAGGAATCAGTAGGGGACAAATATTTGCTCAATTAATAATCAATAAAGGGGGACATACTCTGGCTACCTGGGAAGCAGGCAGGATCCTGGGCTCAACCAAACTGTCCAGACTATGAAACTGAATAACATTAAACGGTAAGCACAGACTGAAGCTAACAAAAGACTCCATCGGAGGTGTTAACAGCATTTATTATGAAAATACCTGTATTAAGGACTCTGAATTTGCACCCACTAAGCAGCCAACGTGGTTCACCATGTCTGAAAAACTGATTCAGTGTCTACCTGCTTCTTTAGGCTCACAAGTAAATTTGAGAATCCTGCTTGCTGGCACTTAAATAAGAAGCCCCATTTGCCCACATGCTTGGCCTTCAGCAGCATCTCAGAGATGCATTTCAACAGGACTGTGACAAGTGTTTAGCAATAGGAAAAATCAAGCCCATTGTTCAGATGTCTTAATGGGTTTGGGCCTTTTTAAATCCTAGCCATTAATATTGATGACATTTTTTCCTGCTTTTTCACTCATTTTAATCTCTAGCATCCCTGGCAGAGAACTCACCTTCTTTCCCTAGCACATTAACCTCTCTGGCTGTTTCTGTTTTGTGAGATAACAATCTAGGTCATTGTGGCAGTGTCAGTCTGCAAAGCAAGGCATTATTCAGCAGCCACTTTCCCAGACTGATTATGTTTTCAGCTATAACACGAGAGCAAGGGATATGGGAAGAAAAATTGACCTGAGCAGTTATCTGTGAAGTAACTATAAATGTAGACTGCCCTTCTGCAGCTCACCTCTGTGACAATCCTTGTCGCTATAGTAGTATCCATATCGGCACTGGCAGACAGAAATGCTATTTAAAGCAACACATTCAGCCAAATTTGTTCCACAAGGGTTTGGGTTGCACAAGTTCCCTGATACAAAGATGAAAGATATTGATGTCAGGATTTCTATGAAATTGCAATGGTCAGTTCATATGTAAAGTAGTTCATATATTAAATAGTTCATCTATATTTCTACTAAAGGAAACTACCAGGTATGTTTTAGAGTATACATGCAATTAAAGAGCACACGGCTATGTCTTGGTTGCTTACTGTCTGTACAGTAACTGTAAAAAGCAGGATATCACAGTGAGGACACAGAGTAAGGCTGAAATTAATTATCTGTCATACTGGGCATTCACAATTTAATTCTACTTAATAAAACTAAAACCACAACAAACAAACAAAGTATATCGAGGGCTGCCAAAATCAGTGACTATGTTAGAAAAAGGCACACTACAAAGAACCTGTGGTTCTTTAATACTGTGCTGGTGTGTACTTACCTTATTATAATACATAGTCATGGTAGGGTGCTTTACTGGAGACACATTAATAAAATGAAGGCTCCCAAGTTAATCATCAGAGTATACATACCTCAATAGATATCAGAGTATGTTGCTAAGGAATTTTTTGCAGGGTTTAGAGCTGTCACCATATGACTAACTATATTACCTGACCACTATACGGTACTTCTACAGTGTTAAAACTGCATGGGTTTGTGCTACTGCTGCCTTCCACTTACCTGGTGGAGTTGTTGCTGAAGATGATGTTGTGTTCATTCCTGGAAAAGGGAAAATAATATGTCAGCCTTGTTAGTGCCTTGGTTACCCTGAAGCTATTGAGGACAGTATGATATGATGCCTCAAAACCTTTCCCAAACCTGCTGCTACCTTGTGCTGTATTTTGCCAGTGCCCTTGCCCTTATTTCCTGCAACCTGCTGCTCAGTGTGATTTACCCTGCATGCCTGTCTGTGATATCTCTTCCCTGGCAACCTCTGTCTCCACTT